GTTGTAATGAAAACTGATTATTCGTAGGGAACAATATAAATGACGTGGCAAAGCCACGTCATTTATATAGTAACCTAACGATAAATCAGTTATCATCCACAACCTAACCAATAACAAGTACATACTGTATATCGAATTCTATAGTTGGCTAACAGTTTCGATCACTCAGTTGATTTATCACCCCAATACGAAATCATACGATAAATCATACGATAAAATCACGCAACCGATCAATTAATATACACTCGTGATCGATTCGAGACAAAATGCTGCTCAGGCACTTTCGTATCGGGCAGCTAATTAAGTTACACAAAGTGGGTGCGCGTTATTTCGGGACGCGTATAGTTTTAAGCAATTTAACTAATTTTTTGAAAATGGCTAATTTCAAATTAATGCCCGGTCCACTATTACGGTAAATACGGTACATCAAATTTGAAATTTAATGTAAGTTTACAACCATAGGTAAAATATTAAATTATGAATTATCTTCGCTTTAAACGCCCCTTAGAAATGGTACTCAGATAGATTAAATAATTCACACGAAATGTTTTTTTTTGTAAATGAGCTACTAATAATTATGCAGGGGTAAGACATTCACAGAACCAATCAAAATGAATTAAATGCCAGGGGAAAGAGTATTACTGTAATTTGATCTTAATTAATATCTATCATGTCCCTTAGAGATACGTACGTACTGTACGTACGTATTATTTAAATTAAACCGCGTGATTTGTAATCATTGTGTGGTAATTAAGCACATGCCAAAAAATATCCGGGCCACATAGCAGAAAATTATTTATTGCTTCTCATGAACCACTAAGGTTTCATGCTCGACACTGTACAACGCAAATATTTACTTGCAGATTTATTGATTCAACATTACTCAGAAGTATGTGCGTAAAAGTGATCTTTGATTATCGATGACGTTTCTCATGATATACAAGAAGAGTTCATATCGGGTATTTATAGCTATTCTATTATAATATTATAATATTATAATATTTCAACGTTTTATCCAATATGAATCAACGGTCAGAAGAACTAATATGTATCAACGAATATGATTGAATTTAGTACTGTAGCGACATGATTATTTTAACTTTTCACTGAATAATCATCTATGATCAGTAATTTTTATCTATCACTATGCAGTGCAGCAGTAAATCCTAAATTTTGATCAGATGCGGAACCCGAGTCATGAAATTTATCATCTATATATAGTCTAGAAATTACTAGATAGAATTTAGGCGCCAAAAAATTGTCAGCAGTTAATAAAGACATGATCACCAATCTATGACGTTTGTTACTATATTCTCATTAATAGTAAATAGTATGTACTTTTGACTTCATTCCTGTCGTAGATCGATTTATTTGTTTCGTACCTGCACGAACGAAAATATATTTAGTTGTTACAAATTTATGCCATGTGATCGTTTATGGTGTTTGATGTGTTGTACATAATTAAAGCTCGTCACGCAGTGGTTCATTGCGTTTGACATTTCGGTGCATAAACATTCAGAATTGTAATACGTATAAATAATTATTAAAACTTATGTAAATCATGTATTCGAAAGAAAGAAAAAAAATGGTTAAAAGTCGTACCATCTACCGTATTTCATTCAGCACATTTTTGATTCTCGTCGATTTTATAATTTATTTCTTGCCAGTTTTTTTTGCATGTTCCTTAACAAATATTTTTGTCTTGATCTTGTTCTTTCCCAATAATGTTATAAATCTTTACTATACACTTTTTGCAAATAGATATATTGGACCAAATCTTAAATTAATATTCTTCGTACTTTCACCTATTCCAATATTATTATACTTTCCCACCGGGATCTTTGTTTCGCTTTGCTACACGATTTGGATTACCCTTATTATCCCAGTTAAAGAACATATTAGTAAACCAAGTGAACCATATCATACGTTTTCACCGTTTGCAGCGATGGTTTATTATACTTATCAAAGTCATAAAGACCTCACTATTTCAAAAATAAATCAGGATGAAGGCCAATGGGCAAATTTAGGAGAATCTCCCATCGTTCAACCTATCAGGTCGGCTTTAGACCTTTCTTCGTCAACATGGAATTATTGTAGTTCTCTCGTTCCTCAACACGTTCGTAGTATAACGAGTTATACTGGTCCAACTAGAGATTTAAGTTGGAGCAGCTTTATTCTTTTTCCAATGTT